TCTTGCTTCTCCATCCTTAGGATGGAGTTATGGTCCTTCTCTAGCCTCTGGGCCCAGCCACATGGGCCCAGATTTCCTCTCCCTCCTCTGGGCCAGGTGTACGTGTGAGCACGCCTCTTACCTTTGCTGCTCACGCCATCCCCTGCAGCAAATCCCCTCTCCCCATCCTTCCCTGCTCCTGAAGCGCCTGCACCATCACCATGCACTGCACACTCCTTGAGGCTTTCCCTCTCTCCTCTCTCATTTTTTAGCTGCTGGTAAATGCTAAATGCAGGCTGTCCTGCTCCTTGTCTTCTGTGCTTCTGGGAGCAGGAATTCCTTTAGGATAAAACCCTATACAAAGCAAGTGGAAAGAGCCTTTCTAGATGGGATGCTGCTGCTCCAGTGTCCTGGATGCCTCCCTGCACCCTGGGGCTTCACCAGCACTGATTAGCTCAAGCATGGCAAGATTGGGGGGCAGCGTGTGTCATTGGTGCTGGAGTGGAGCAGCTTCTGGGCATCTGTCCCAGTTCAGTGTGCACTGCTTGGCTTAGGCAGTGGTGGGATCAGAACACTGAGCTTCCCAGCAGTGTTCCTGACAGGCAGTGGTGACGTGTGCTGCTGAGGCACAGCCCCTGCCTTAGAGCCGTCTGTTACCAATAAATGTGGCTCTTACATCATGCAAGGGATGCACAGGGAGCTGCAGATGATCTTAATGAATGGAAGAAAATAAGAAACATTATTTAGTACCTTATTCCACATGGACATGGAGTGTGCTTCCATGTGCTACAGGCACAGAGTTGCCCACTGGCACTACCACAGTGCCATCATCAGATCCACAGTCTCATTGCGCTCCTCTTCCCCTGGGCCACCCCACAGCTCCCTGCTCTACTTCTTCAGCTCTGGATTTCAAGTGCTACAACCCACAAAGGAGGTCCCTTTCTGTGGCTTCAGCTGTTCTTGCTGGCTACATTCTCATCCTATTGAAACTAGTCTCCATCATGCACCCTGATCCATGAACTAGGAGCAGCATCCTCTTAGCTGTGCACCTCCACAGATGTCCTCACTGTCCCTCTGCTGCCAGCCCCCCTCTCTCATTTGCATGGTTACCTTTTTCTCTCTCTTCTTGTCATCAGCAGCTCTATGTCTTCACAGTTCACATGTTCAGAATCTGTCCATCTCAACCACTGGGAGGAGCTGCATTTGCCAAGCTGAGAGTCAGGACTTATGCTGGTGCTGTAGCAAGAGCAGTTTGAGCCCAGGATGACTCCTCCTACCTGTAGCTGTTAGTATCTTGTTAAGCAAGGCCAGCCCTGGAATGGGTTTCCCTTCTGGCAGGGTGTGTGATATATACCCAAGGCATGCACGTGTTTATATCCATCACTTACTCATCCCTGGCAAGGTCCTATTTGCTGGTGTTCACTCTGTGCAGTGGGGTTTCTGTAGTCACCTGCCAGCAAGTCAGGGAGACAGATTTGCAGCAGACCTCTCTGAAGAGCTGACCAGTTGGCGCTGATGCTTCTGACAGACTTTCTGCTGCGTTGCTGGTCAAGGTCCACGAGCTGTGAGAGCAGGATGAAATTGTTCCCGCTGCTCTCTGCACCCCTGTCCCTTCAGTGCTGGGGGTGTCAGGCAGGGCTGGACCGAGCAGACTGGCTGCTTGCCCACACCACTATTTTTTGCTGGTGTGCAGATGAGCAAAGCTGCAGCCCAGCCTGTGTCCCAGCTGGTCTTGTGGCACCTCTGGAAATGCTGATGTTTCCAAAAGTTCTGCCAGCTCTTAGTAACCTCCCAGGAAATGGACATGCAATCAGATATACTGGTGCCCTGTTTTTGAGATTTGCTGATGGACACTTTTTCACTCCAGCTCATAAACTTCCAGCCTGATAGCTGCATTCCCAGTTGAAGGTGACTGAGAAAGCTGTGATCCCCAGCCTTCCATGGGTGCCTGGGGCAGCATGGAGGTGTGGGTGGTCATCCAGGTTGAGCTCTCACCTTTCCACCATCAGCAGTCATGCCTGGGGAAGAGAGCTGAGCCCCAGCCAAGGTGTACTTGGATCTGCATCCTTGGGCTGTATACCTGGACAACCCAGGAGCAAGATGGGGATAGGCTCCTCCTTGACAGGGAATGCCACTGGAGATTTTCTTGTAGCAGTAGGTTTTTTGAGCAAACCACAAGGCTGTGATGTCCCCATGTCACGTGTGTCCCCCCGTGTGTCGTAGCATCCATTTGGCCCATCCTTCAGCTTGGTGGTTGTGAAATGAATCCATCTGTTCTAAGATGTTCTCAGGAGTTCTTGTTTGTATTAAGCTCACCCTTAGGCGTAGCAGAAATCACAGTCCCCATCCTCCCTGCTCCCCTCCCCGCAGACAAGCCCTCTCACGAGCACTTCCACCTTCTCCCCAAAGGGCAGCAGAGGGCAGCTGGCGGTTTTGATTCAGGGCACGTTGGCAGCTTTGGGGCAGCCGAAGGAGCTGGGATGCAGCTGGCCAGCATTTGTGACATGGGTCTGGAGGCCAGGCGGTCCCGCGGGCTGTATTGCTAGCCAATGTTTTCTAAGTCTATTTGTAAGAGTACCTAATTTTAAAATGAAATGTGAATATATATTATGTGTAGGTGCCATGTAAGATAGTGTTGTGCTAGGCAGCAGGATGCTAACCTACTTTTTAAGCTTTTTGGGAGCAGGAAAAAGCATTTTTCTCTCACTTCATGCTCACAGATCTAATATTGTAAATAGGTTTTTTAAATATTTATTTCATGGGCTTTCCACAGGTTCTCGTTCTGACTGGTGTGTCGGTGGGTGGGGCTGTGTTGCCCAGCCTGCCACAACCAAAGGGCTGGCGATGGCGTGGGGGGATGGGGCGGGGTGGGGGTGCTGGTGGTGGTGTTCAGTTTGGGTTTGTGTCACGTCAGAGCTGAAGCATTAACTCTTCATCTCGTTTTGATGATGTCAGACCTGGTCGTTGGCCACGGTCCCCAGGGAGGCTGTGAGCTCCCATGGCCAACAAGGATGGCTGTTCCCCAGGACAGGGGGCACTGCAAGCAATAAGATTTGTAGTAATAATGTCTGCTTTGATGGCAGGGGCTCTCGGGGCTCAGGGCCAGGTGGGAATAACCCTGCTCTCAGCAGGGCCTCAGTCCAGCATGGCTTTGGGGTGGGTCTCTTGACCTGGAGGTACTCAAAGGAGTGTCCCCAGGGATGCAGAAAGGGGGAGATGCTGTTACCCCATGGAACCCCCCCCAGACCACTGGGGTAGGGTAGGTAGTTGCTGGTAGCAAACTCCCACTTAGTGAATTACTGCCTTTGTGGGTACGGGTGACCCATGGGAGCACACTGCTGTCGCTGCTAGTCCTAGGGCCGGCTCCAGAAGGTCATTTGCTCATTTGCTAATCATTCTGCAATTTTAATTCTCCTTCTAGGAGGTTTGAGGTCATTTGGTAATTTTTGCTTAAGTGGGTTTAGGTTTTTATTTTTCTTTGTTAACCCCTTTTTGCCTGGAAGTGTGGCTGGCTCTGACCTTCCAGTCCAGCTGTCTGTGTGGGGCACTGTCAGCAGGATCTGGTTTTATGATGGGTCTCTGACTTTGGAGGATGGAGTGAGGGGTGCTGCTGGGTTCCAGCCCTGCAGGACCCTTCACCAGTCCCATGCTTCCTTCACCCTTGGAACAGGTGTAAAAAAAAAAAAAAAAAAAAAAAAAAAAAAAGGAAAAAAGGAAACAGCACAGTAATTTTTTTCCTTAGGATGTAAAACATTTGAATATTCTCTCCACCCTGATGGTAAATGTTTTTCCTTCATCTGTGTCTGCTTCCCTGGGAGAGTTTTGTTTCTCTGTTTGTTTCTATATAAATTTTAGACACTGAGCTGAAATTCCTCCTGTCCGGTACTGTATGTTTGAGCCCAAGCAATGTGAACTGTACAGACCAGCAGTGGGAAGGGGGAGCTGGTGACTGCACCTGGGAGAGCCGTGGCTTGGGACGGCGTTCCCAGTTGGTGTAGGGAGTGGGAAGTACTGCGCCACAAGCTGGGAAAATGAATTGTCTGCTGTGAATTCTCGGTTGGAAATGTGGAGAGGAGTTTCCATTAGATAATGTTTACATACCTCACCTGACAAACCTTTGAAAGTGTATATATAAAAAAAAGAAAGAAAATAAAATTATATTAAGTTGCTTTAAATCAATATGTATAGCTATAAGAGCTGGGTCATTTGAACTTTGAATATGTATCGATTCTCTAAATGTTGACATTTTGTGAACTCTGTGCTCCTGTCTTTTATTTCATCCTAGCCTATGGAAAAAGTTGTGTTCTTGTTCCAGATAAAAGGTCCCTGACTCAGATCTGAACTCCTCAAGGATTCCCACCACCTTGTTTTCTTTTCTTCCTCACTGTCAGTATTCACCCTATGAGCTTTCTAAAGGTCCATATTTTATTGCAGCTTATTAAACGTTTCTTTGATATCAATGTTGGTTTGGTGTGATAAGTGGGGAAGACTGAAGGTGAGTGAGTGCATGAGGTAGGGCACAGCAGGCTGGCACCTTCCAACTGCCACCTCCTCCCTGCGGAGAGAGGATATAAATGTCTGTGTGGGGTTTCTGTGCTCCCATACCAGTGCCCGAGCTGTGGCAGACTTGTGTTTGTGGCACCAACACTGCAACCTCTTGGTGGTCCTGGGGACTGCTGCCCAGGCCCCCCTTACCCTTCCCCAGAGAGCTACGAGTGCCCAGTTTCCCCTGGAGCCATTCCATCCCCACAGCAGGCACTGGCCCTTCAGCTTCCCACGTGCAAGACCCTGGCAGTGATGGCTGCTTTTGCAAGGCATTGCTGGATAACCCCGTCTGCTTGTCCCTGCACCGTGGGGGCAATGCGTTGGCCAGAAGTGCTAGCTGGGGCTGCTCCAGGAGTAGGAAATCATCCCCCAAGGCACAACCAACTCTTTCCATCCTGTGCCACCTCCTCACACACTCAGCAGCTCCCAAGCATCGCCTTCTCCCATCTCCCCACTAGGAAAGAAGAGGCCAAGCCTCTGAATGAATAAATGTCATGTTCACATGGAAGACAACATAGACAATACCAAACATCTCCTAAAACAATACAGCCTCTGCCAGCGGAAGGATGCCCAGCGCCTCCCTCGCCAGCCTAGTACAAACCAGCGTCTTCAATAGTGACACACACAAACCCCACGGGCCAAACAAAGCCACTGTCATTTTTCTGCCCAGTAGCATCTGTAAACAAAAAGAAAACATCATTTGTTGACCCCAAACATATAAAAATACTATAACAAAATGAAATACAAATATATATTAGAATCTGTAAGTATTCTGTATAAAGAGATACTTTAGCGGTTAGCGTACAGCAAGAACAGAAACACAACACAACCAAGCCCCGGGTGGGCCACAGGCAAATGAGACGCATCCCAGCTCCTCTGTGTGGCAGAGGAGCTCCCATGGAGAGGGCATTTGTGGCAGAAACACATCCCCGTGATTCTGGAGATGCCCTGGATGCCAGTGGTGAGCAGGGATGGGGACAGCGCCTGCAGAGCTGGGTGTACCCAGTGGAGGTGCCTGGAGTCCGGCCACAGCTGGCAGTGCAGACCTGAAACCAAAGTGCTGGAGTGGTGTGATGGAGAGATCCAGGACTGCAGCTCTGGGATGAGTCTGGCCACCAGGGTGATGTGGTGTTTCACTGTCCAGCCATGTGCAGTGTCCCAGGTTGGGCCCCTGCTGTCCTTGCCCCCGCAGTCCTAGAGGTGATGCTGCTGTGGATGCTGGGTGCATGCAGCACCCTGGCAGGAGGTCCCTGTGTGCCCCCGCTCCCACACCAGCCCAGCACATGCCCTGGCACTCTGGGCTTTGGAGAGATGCTGGGTATGGGCACCTGAGTCCAAGAGCTGATGGGTCCTGCCCTGGCAGTGGTGTTGGCTCCAGGCTTGCAGGGTTGGACATCTTCAGCCTCTTCAACTCAGCATGCACAGGACTGAGGCCCCGGTGATGGGCATGGCAAACCCGCATCCCAGCTGTCCCAGCAGCCTCTTGCTCCTGCTGGCTGGGTCAGCAGGACATGGGGGCACCTTCACCCTGCTGCACGCCTGCTCCCCTAGGACAGAGCCTGCCAAAAGGGGATTCCTGTGCTGCCCTCACACAGCTCCCATTTCTGAGCAGAGCCACCTGGCTGAGCCAGGGGTATCTGGGGCCCTCTCCACATGAATGGCACAGTGCTGGCCCCATGGCACAGGGCACAGGGCAGGTTGGCACTGGAACCCTCAGGGACATCTGTGCCCTGCTGCCTGTCCCCCATTCAGTGTGCCTGGCACTGCCCCGGTCCTGTTCCACCTGTGTGGCCCTGATGTGGCCCTGATGTGACCACAGTGGGCTGGACCCAAGCGTGCCCATGCACTGCACAGCCCAGCCAGCATGCACAGACTGGGGGTGTCACCAGAGGGTCACGCTGGAGTCACAGAGCTGGGGACATTATCTGGGGTACTTAGGGCTACAGCACCCTGCAGGGAGAGAGACCAGGGCTGCTGGAGGAAAGAATGAGAAACCAGATCTGGGCTCAGCAGGACTGCAGGACACTGGCTACACCACACAGCCCACTGCAAGCCATGGCTTGCCATAGATCCCAAGGCTCTGCCATGGCAGGCCTCCCTCCTCCCATCGGGCATGTTGGAGAAACCATCAGATCACTGGGCTGATGCAAGGGACAGGGCTGCCAGGGAGGGGACTCACCCAGGACGCAAGCACTGCCCTCCATGGCTGTGGGGCTTCACTGGCAGGGAGGCAGAGTGCCACAGGGAGAGGACAGGGCAGCTGGGCAAGGTGCCCACTCCATATCCACGTATCTGTGTAGCTGCAGTTCTTAAAAAACTTCTCTATCTACACATTTGCTTTGTTTGTGGGGTTTTTTTCTTTTTTTTTTCTATTTTTTTTTTCTGTTTCCTTCCCAATCTTCTAGATGCACCAGCTCTACCCTCTGCCGGGCTCCTCAGGTGCAGCTGCAGTTTGGAACACCCAGAGAGCAGCACCATGCCCGCAGTGTGAAGTGAGGTCCTTGGCTCGGGGGGGTCTCCCCGCCAGCCCCCCGGCTCTGCAGGGCCGGTGGCTGCTCACAGGCACTGGCTGCAGCCACACTTGCTGGGCTTCTCCACCTCCTCCACAAAGGTCGCACCGTTGCTGCATTCAAAGGCGTATTTCCTGCGCCGCAGCCGCAGCCCGGTGCAGCAACTGGCGTCAGGGCCACCGCAGGTGCCCCGGCATTCCACCCAGGCCACCGGCCGCGTCGTCTGGCAGATGGCATAGCCCCGCTGCACCTGGTGGTAGTCCCGCACCGGCTCCCCGCGGCACTCTGGCTCTGTGGGACAGTGGGACAGCAGTGGTCAGCCTGCTGTGGTGGCGGGGGGCTGCCTTTCCTGCACACCCACCTCCTCAGCACCCACCTTGGTCACAGAGGGCTCCGGTATAGCCATCGTGGCACTCGCAGGTGGGCTGGCCACCTGGGGCGAGGTGGCAGTGGCCATGGACACAGGGCTGGTGGCGGCAGGGGTCGGGCGGTTCAGCAGGCTGGTTGCAGAGCGCGCCCTGGTAGCCCTCTTGGCACTGGCAGCTGTAGGAGAGGGCATCAAGGGGCAGGCACAGCCCATGCACACACCTGTGGGCATAGGGTGCTGTCAGGACCTGCCGGCGTGGCACCAGCATGCACAGCCCACCAGCGCTGAGCATGGCACAGCTCAGCACCAGCGCTGTACTGCGACTGGCACGGCACCACCTGGCACAGCACAGCCGTCGTGGCACAGCACAGGCGTGGCTCTGGCACGGCATCAGCACAGAACAGCCTGGCACAACCCAGTGCTAGGAGCATGGCAGGGCAGCGTCATGACACGGCACCACCGTGATGGCACGGGACTGACACGACAGCCCCAGGAACCAGCCACAGGGCAGGGCGGGCAGCCAGGGGAGGGGCGGGTGGGGCACACAGTGGGCTAAGGGCACTCACTTGTGCCCCTGGCAGGGACCGCCGCGGGGCTGGTCGCAGTGGGGCCCGTCCCAGCCAGGCTCGCAGTGGCAGACGGGGCCCTGGGCGCCCGAGGGCTGGCAGATGCCGTGCAGGCAGTAGAGCTTGCGGCAGGGCTCGCAGCCCGGCACCACCCCCGGCGTCATCCGTGTCTTGGTGAAGTCCTGCAGCTCGTTATTGATGTAGAGGTTGCGGATGCATCCGTGGAAGCTGGTGCCATTGAGGAGCTGCCAGAGGCGGAAGGCAGCCGAGTTGACATCCACAGGCATTCCTGGGGAGAGCAGGACCATCAGCACACCCGGATGCCCCCCATGCCCTCCATTACCCGGTCCCTGTCCTACCTCCTACGTAGAGGGGAGCCTCACTGTTCAGCGTGTAGTGCTTGCCCGAGTTGTCCATGGTCATGGGGCTGCCACCATCAATGGACAGGTTCACCATCTGGTCAAAAGTCACCAGCTCCACGGTGTGGAACTGCCCGTCGTTGATGGTCTCAGCACTGGCAGGGATGGCTGGGTCACTGAGGATGCCCCCAGGCCGAAGCAATGGGGGTGGAGGCCCCCAGTGAGTGGAGAAGGGGTGCCAGGTACCTGTAGATGGCCGAGCTGGGGTGGGTGCCAGGGTCATAGCTGACCCTCACATGGCCCTGGTACAGCTCCACAGCCATGTGGTCGCTGTCACCATTGTACAGCAGGATACCATTGCCTTCAGCCGTGGAGACCTGCCAGAGAGAGAGGTGGGAGCCCACATCCCTGGGGCAGACCCCCAATGCCATCCCTCAATGCCCCCACGCCCCCCTAGCCCTCACCTGAAGGGTGATATTGGCCCGGGGCCAGTCTTGCAGGTCAGTGAACTGCAGGTACGTGTCACGGTCCACAAAATTGACGCTCAGCAGCTTCTCACATTTGGGGCCACCGAAGCCAGGCAGGCACTGGCACAGGGCGCGGGCACCCCGCTCCACACACGGGGCCCCGTTCTGGCATTCAGCTCGCTCACAGGGGCCAGGCTGGCCAGCAGTGTGGGGCGGCATCTCGCAGAGCTGGCCACTGTGGGGCCAAGGGTGCTGCTGGGCTGGGGGCTGGGAAAGAGCCCTGCACCCTGGCCAATGCCCCATAGGGCGCTGACAGACACCCCTGATTTGGGGTCCCCGGGGAGGCTCTCCCAGACACTGGCATCGGAGGGATGCCTGGATGCTGAGCTGTGCCCTGGGGACCCTCCTCAATGATGCTGGCTCCCCCCAGCCTCCACCCCAGAGACACACACCCCACCTCACTCCTTCCTGTCACATGATGGATGGATGGATGGATGGATGGATGGATGGATGGATGGATGGATGGATGGACTTGGTAGCCAAGACTTGTCCCTTCTGCACAGTGACACATGACCATCCCCACTACCCCAGGTGTCCCATGTCTTCCTGGTGGTACCTGTAGCCCTCGGTGCAGAGGCAGGAGTAGCCATTCACCTCATCCAGGCAGCGGGCGTTGTTCTGGCACCGGTGGTCCTGGCAGTCGTCGAAGTCCTCGCTGCAGTTGCTCCCCACATAGCCGGGTGCACACTCACACCTGGGGCAGGTGGGGGGCTCGAGGCTGCCCCTTCCTTCCCCCTTGCACCAGTGGGTGCCTGCTCCTCCCCCTGTAACCCCCCCTCCCCCTCCATGCCTCCTCACTGTAGTCCCGAAAAAGCAAATCTACCCTCCCCCAGACAGCCAGCAAATAATGGTTTGGAGAAGAGGGGCCTCACCTGGGTCCCTGGCTGGTGGAGATGCAGGTGGAGTCATGCTGGCAGGGGTTGAGCTCGTCTGAGCAGAAATTGGGTGGCTGCTCACAGAATTCCCCTGCAAGGTAGAAGAGGGGGTGCCCAGCAGCTCCAGGACCAGAGGAGCAGCCCCAGTCCCCATGGGACAGAGGGGACTCCTGAGGGACTCAGCTCAAGAGGGAGCTGCCAAGCCCACAGCTTTCACCCCACGGGCACAGGGTTCTCCTCCCCTGGAGGCAGCTCCTGCCTGAGCCAGGCACTGAGGGCATCCCAGGGTGTGGGGGTTCAGCTGGGTGTACCCAAACTCAAGACAGCTGAGCCCAGCCAGAGCCCATGGCAATGGGCATTGAGACAGCAGGCAGAGGAGCTATTTAGCCCTCATAGGTGGATAGAAGCACTGGGCACATTCCCATGCCAGGGCTGTGCCATTTGGGGATGGCTAGCCCCCATTCCAGGTACCTGTGTAGTAGGCAGGACAAAGGCAGGTGTAGTTGGTGGCACTGGGCACACAGGAGCCCCCATTCTCGCAGCTGTGCTCCTTGCAGGGGTCGCTGGTGGTGTGGCAGCTCTGGCCCTCGAAGCCCACTGGGCACAGGCACCTGCCATGGGGCCGGGGCAGTGTCAAGGAGGAAAATGAAATGGAACATTTTGGGGTGGCTCCCCCAAAATGACCAGCACAGGACCTTGGCGAAGAGCTGGGATTGGTGTCCTCCTGTCAAACACTGGGCACAGGGGTGGGTGGCAGCACAGCCTGCCCGAGAATGCTGTGTTACCACGACAACAGGCTGAGAGGCCTCTCAGCACCGGGAGGGGCTCCTCACTCCCAGCCTGCCAACTATTTTCAGCTCCTAATTGCAACCTGATTCCCAGAATGGCCTAAAGCATTCATTGCAGTGAGGGCTGTGTGAAGGTAAAACAGCCCCACAGGGAGCAGCAGTGATTCCAGGACCACAATCAATCCCAGCAACCAATCCCACTCCCAAACCCCTCTATGTCCCCCTGCCATCACCCGCTGAGGTGATGGCACCCTCCTCTCCCCCACTGACCTCTGCCTAGGAGCCTTTTGGGCTGGGAGGCATAGGAAAGTGGAGTCAGACAAGACGAGCAGGAGCTCCCATGCAAATGCAATATCCCAGCTATATGCCCAAGGGAGTATGCAGGAGGCGAAGGAAGTATCAGAACTCTCCATGGGAGGCCAGGGTCCCATGCCACTGCCCAAACACCCACCTTTCATGGGTTCCTGTCCAGCACTCACCTGAACCCAGCTCCTTCCCCCTCCTGAGGCTGGCAGGTCCCCCCGTTGGCACAGGGGTTGGAGGAGCAGCCACTGAGTGCCACCTCGCAGTCCCGGCCCTGGGGAAGGATGGGAAGGTGGGAGCGAGGAGGGTGCCACAGCACCTGCCCAGCTCTCCCCATCCCGCTCAGCAGGGTGCTGTGGCACACAGGGAGGGTAGTTGGTCCCACAGGCAGCAAGCTCCGGGCATGGCAGAGGCCCTGCTCCGCTCCCTTGCCCTCTGCAGGGACATGTCCCCATGCACTGGGGACCCCTGGGACCAGGGTACCTTGTAGCCACTGGGACAGGCGCAGCGGTAGGAGCCGAGGGGGTCATTGTGGCAGGTGCCCTGGTTCTGGCAGGGGCTGGAGAGGCAGGGGTTGCACTTGGCCTGAACGCTCAGGGCAGGTGGGCCTGTAGGATGGGAGGCACGGAGATGACCATCAGGGCGAGGAGCGATCAGGACGTGTCCTTTTGTGGGCACCGATGTGGGGCAGAGCCTCTGGTGTTGCTGGGAGCAGAGCCTGTCCAAGGGGCTTTGCACCAGGCAATGGGACAGCACAGGTTTGCTCAGTCACCAGGGAAGTGCCACCAGTCAGGTAAGAGGATGGAAGTAACCTGGTCCCCCTCCTCCACAAGGCAGCTCAACAGACGAAATCCTGGAGCCACCCAGACTCACAAAGCATTGCTCTGCTGGGTACCCATGGGAGGGTATGGGTAGACAGCACGGGCACCTCTCACCTTGGCACTCAAATTTCTTGGCAGGGGTGGTGAGCAGCAGCTTTCCTTCCATGTCGGGGGGCCCGGCACAGCGGGCGATGCCTGGCTCCTTGTACCCCGTCTTCACCCAGCTGGAGAGCCAGCGCAGGTTGCAGCTGCAGTACAGGGGGTTGGCCCCGATGGCTCTGCACGAGGAGAGGGGCAAAATTGCACCTGCTGCCACACGGAGGGAACTGGGCACAACTCTGTCACTTGACCGGGATGCCACATGATTGGCAAACCAGTGCTCCTCCATTTCTGGACCCACCAGAAGTGCTGCCCACAATGGGTTAGGACTGGGACACACAACAGCCCCGCAGTGCTGTCCATTTACACCACCCTGCTGCCAGAACCACAGCCCATGCAGTGCTCCTTGCTTTGCCCTGGGGCTCTCCTCCATTGCCCACACAGAAATTCTTGGCAGTCCCTCTCCAGTACACAGGCAAAGCTGCCTGGGGCCAGCAAACTGGGCAAAGTACCTTGAGGCCATGCAGAAACAACAGAACCTGCATGGGAGTGGCAGGGCCAGCCCAGGCTCTGTTGCACAAGCCTGCAGGACAGAGACACGGGATGGGCTGGTGGGAATGAGCAGTGGGTCATGGCCAGAGCTTGTGCAGGCAGCACTGGGGGAAAGCAAGGAATTGCTCTGGGAAAGGAGAAAGGGGATGGAGGGTTGCTCTGCTCCACAGCAGAGAAGGGTACAGGAAGAAGTGGATGATGTGGCAAATGGAGAGCCTCGATGTCTCTTTGAATCCTCCTTGACTGCAAAGGTCAGCAGTGACGGAGGGCCAGTGTGACCAGCATGTGACAAAAGAAGGAGATGGCAGCCCAGAGGTGAGGCAGTAGGGACAGCAGATCTGCTGGGGCTGACTAACCTGGTCCTGCAGCACCCCCAGCACCGGCTGTGACACAGCTCAGCCTGTGGGAACTGGAAGTGCCAGCTGTCTGCAGTGAAGGCAACACAGCCAAGGGAAATTGGAGCAGAGAAAGCAGAGTTGCTCCCCAAAAAACAAGGAAGCTACAACTGGGTATCAAACTGCTTTTTGGTGACTAAAGGAACAGCCTGAGATGTCCAGGATGCCAGGAGCAGGCAGCTAGGAACAGCTTAGTTAAGAGGCAGGGAGGGGACCAAAAAGACACTATGAGCAAAGTTAAACCCTCACCCCAGGTGGTGGGTGTAGGGTAGCACTCCTGGGGTGCAGGCTCACTCAAAGAGGGACTGAAACACCACCACTGGCAGGAGGATACCTGATGACAGACCGGGGGGCTGTTGCAGGGAGTGCACTGGCAGAAGGCTAACAACACACCTGTGTGTCAGAGCAGCCCCTGCCAACCCACAGCTGTGACACTACTTTGCATGGCTTGACCTCCATCTTGGAGGACCCCAGAGATCCAGTGGGTTGGGAAAGGACTCCACACCACACCCACCTAAGACCATAGGGACATCCCAGCAGCACCAGGAGACTCAGCTGCACACCTGGATCTGAGCATGGGCAGCAGGTCACAGCACTGTCCAACAAATCATGTCACAGGTACCAGTCCAGAGAAGAGGGGAGAAGGCAGCTCACCCTCCAGGGAAGCCAAGCTCAGCCCAGTAGTTTTTAAAGGTCTGTGGAGCCTGCATCCAGCCCTGAGCCCTGAGGAATTGAGGAGATACTCACAGGTGGGACAAGGAGGTGACATCTGCGAAGATGCCCTCAGGGAGGCTGGAAATGTCATTGCCATGGAGAGACCTGCAGAGAGCAGAAGGTCCTGCAATGCCCAGGGCTCCAAGGTGGGCAGCAAGGACTGTGGCCCCACCCCACAGGTCCAGCTGTGGGTGCAGAACCACACCACACCACACTGTCACTGCTGCAAATTCACCATCTGCTCTGAGAGCAGATGAACTTTCCTGTGCTGCTCCTGCAGCCTCCACCCTGCCCACTTGCATGCACCCAGCTCCAAGTGGGCACAGAGGGACAGGGACATGGGCAGCAGCAGAGAAGGGCTGAGCAGGGCTGTGAGCAGGCTTAGGGCAGTACTTACAGCAGCCGCAGGGAACGGAGGCCCTCGAAGGCCAGCGGAGGGATGCACTGCAGGGAGTTGTAGCTGAGGATCCTGCGGAAGGCAAGCAGCCAGCACAGCCATGTGTGTGCTGCAAGAAACCCACCCTGGGCTCACGCTGCCCTGTGTGAGCTCCAGCTCAAAGCACAGCTTCACCCAGGCAGAAGGTGGAGACCCTGATGTCCCCAGCACCCCCCAGTCTTTAGGGCTCCCTAGAACAGCCCGCACAGCTGGGCTGCAGCCCAGTGTGGCACTGCAGGGACCTCACTTACAGGGTGGTGAGCTGGCTCATGTTGGTGAAGGAGGAGTTGCTCAGGGAGCTGATCTTGTTGTTGCTCAGATCGCTGGAAAACAGAAACCCCAGGGCTTGGAGCCAGCTGGGCCCTGCCCTCTCTTACTGCTCCCCAGCCTGCTCAGCTGCAACGGGGTGCAAAGAGCAGCACAGCACAGCCTCCAAGGGAGCAGCAGGGCTGTCACACGGGGTGATGGCAGCAAAGCCACTTGTCCCCCCTCTGTTCCATGCCCAGCACCAGGTGGTGAGCAGCCAGCCCCTCCTCAGGATCACACACCATGGAGACAGCCTCTGCCCTCACACACAAGTGTCAGCAGTGCCTCCAGCTGCCTGGGCTCCTGCTCCTGGCTACTTACACCAGCTGCAGATACTTGAAGGTGGAGAGCTGTCCTGGGACCTGAGTGAACTGGTTTCCATCCAAGTAGCTGCAAGGGAGAACAAAAGCACCTTGGGGTGACTGAGAAGCAGGAGATCCCTCCCTCTTTTCCCTCTTTCTCCTGTGCACCACCACGGACTTTAGGCTGCAAGAAGCATTTCCAGCATCACCTTCCTCCTGCACCCAGAGCCCAGGGGCCTCTCAGGGGACTGCTGGGCTGGCAGAGGAGCTAGTGTGTGAGTGCAGGAGCGCACCTGGGTTTGCAGGCATGTCCCTGGGGATGCTCTCCCAGCAGCCTACGTGTGCAAGCGCAGCCAGCAACGTGCTGGGTTTACACATCCGATGGGAGCGTGGGAGGCTGTAACTGCTCCCAAGGCATGTGTGAGAATGTGAGAGATGGCACAGCATGCAGAGAGAGGAGGAGTGTGCAAGACAGTGGAGGGGGCTGTGGGGGTGGTATGCATATATATATGTGCCCAACTGGTGCCTACACCCCCTGCACACAGGACTTGCTGCCATCCCTCACTCCACATGGGTTCGGAGCCCCTTTCGCAGTGATGGGCATCATGGAGCCTGCACATCCAGCTCTGGCATGCACATCTGAGCTTCGCGGCTGCGTGAGGATCACAGCTGCAGGGGGTGGTTGTCCCTCACTGTCCCCTCCCAAGGGCCAAAGACAAGGGTCTCAGCTGCTGGATAACACCACCTCTTGCACAATACCCTTGATAGCCCCAAGTCCTTGCTGAGCCACTTGCTGGCTTGGGGTTGGACAGGATACCTTGGACGGGTGAGGTCCTACTCCCACTGCCAGGCCAGGATGGGGGTGTGGGGAGAAACCCAGGGGTCTCTGCCCTGCCACCCCAGAGCAGAGGCCCCTCACCCAGAGCTGTACAGTTGATGGAGGGTTAGAGGGAGAGCTTGGGTATTTGCCCACTACTCACAGCTCTGTGACATTCTTGGGGATCCCCTTGGGCAGGGCCTTGAGGTGCTTGTTGCTGCAGCGGACAACCGTGTCGAGGCAGGTGCATTCCTGCGGGCACTGTGGCCGGGGGATGCAGGTGGTCTCCTCCTTACCTGCGCCAGGCATGGAAAGCCACCAAGTCACCAGGATCCAGCCCTGGGGTATTGTGTGAGGCCAGATTCAAAGCCTTGTGCCAGCCTAGGATGGCTCCCCTCCCATGCCAAGCATCCTCCCCCGCCCCCAAAGCAGGGTGTTGCAGGCAATATCAGGCAGGATTTAGCAGTGCAGGAATTGCTCCTGCACCCAGAAATTGCCTGCCCCACTGGTGTGGATACAACCAGCTAGCTCAAGGCTGCTCTGATTTCACCATTTTCATGCAAAAATGCAATCACAGGAACAACATAGATAAGGGCACAGAAGAAGGGGCTCAGCCCTGCAAATCCTCCTGAAACAACCTCCTTCACCCATCTCCCAGACACAGGTTAGATGGAGCAGAGCCTGTGCTGAGCAGCCAGAGCAGCTGGCATTGCTCCCCTTCCCTGCCATGATGCTGGAATCCTGCGGGAAAGGCATTCCTGGGACAACCGTATGCTATCTCACACTGTTGGGAAAGATGCAGGATGCAACCCTTCAGTCACTGACGTGGTGGAGGAGGGAAAGCAGAAGAAAGCATGGTTTGTTTGTAAATATTTTCCAGAGGGCTAAAAAGCTGCTCTGAATTAAAAAAAAAAAATAAAAAGAGGTTTTTCTCCCCACGCACACTCCCCGTCTGCTCCATCTGCCCACCGCCAGCTCCGGTGCATGTGCAAGGCTGAGAAGGGAAGGCGGGAAGGAGCAGGATGAATCCCAGTGGGCTTTGCCTACACATCTGCTCCTGTCAGCACCCAGGGCACAGTGTCTGCCAGCACAGACCCACCTACATACAAGAGCCCCAAGGTGCAGTGGGTGCAAACGCCTCTTCTGGCTTCAGAGTGCACATTTGAGTGCCCAAGGGCCAAGTACCAGGAAGGAAAACTTTTTTATCATTAGGGGAGGGCATTCACGGGGCCCCCTGAACTATCGCCGTGCCATGGGCACATCCTGGCAGCAAGGATGTTGCTGGGACAAGGAGCACACTGTCAATCCTGGGAGGAGCAGCCTGGTCTCCCCTCACCCCTGGCGCTGCAGGGCCCATGAGTTACCTTCCTCACACCTGAAGTCAGGGAAAGCCACATCCTGGAGCGGGATCTGCCGGAGGAAGTCAGGGTTTTGGCACCGAGGGTTCCCTGTCACGATCTTCCTCCTGCGCAGCCAGTCCCCCAGCCAGGCCAGCTGGCAGTTGCAGTTGAAGGGGTTGGCGAGCAGGTTCCTGCACACGGGAGAGAGCACACGGGCAGCACCTGAACAACCACAGGCAAGGGGACCTGCAGCAATGTGCACAGGCTGGGGGCAGCCCCCGGGGCCCAGGACATACAGTGTGGAGAGGGATTGCAGCGTGTCAAAGGCACCCGGTGCAATTGTGCTGATCTGGTTGTCATACAGGGAGAGCAGGCGGACGTTGCGCAGCCCTGTGAAGCTGTCATTGTGGATGCAGCTGATGCGGTTGTTCCTCAGCATCCTGCAGAGGGAAGAGAACAAGGGCACCTACAACACAGGCAGGCACCACGGGGGAAACCCACCTTAGCAGTGCTCAGGCTGTGCCCACCTCAGTGCTGGGCAGCAGAATGAGCCTGAGCAAGTCCCTGAGCAGCAAAAACCTGCCCCCCCAGCACTGGATGCGGCCAGTTGGTGGGCAAGGCATCCTGAGCTGGCCCTGCAAGGAGGCAAGGAGTAAGGATGTCCCCATCTGGGTGCTCATGGAGGAGAAGGGACTCACAGTGTCCTCAGCCCGTCCAGACCCCTGAACATGCCACTCCGCACGGACTCCAGCTGGTTGACAGTGAGGTGCAGCTCATTGACAGAGGATGCCCCCTCAAATGCCCCATCCTCAATCTCTGACACCTTGTTGTTGCTGAGGTTGCTGTGAAGAGGGAAAAGCAGGCTGGGATGAAGGGTCTGCCTTGACCGCATCCTGAACCCTGCCTCCCCCAGATCCCACTAAGCACCCTGTGATGCCAGTCCTTCAGAGGACCCTCAGGCTGGGACAGACCCTCCATCTCATGCCCCAGTCTGCCCTGGCATCAGGACTTCCATGTGCCTGCCCAGCCCTTGGCACTCCTGACATGGCTGTGCCTGCCCAATACTCACATTTTCTTCAGATGTGGGAGTTTCTTGAAAATGCCAGTGGCCTCCAGGATGGAGATCTCATTGTTGTTCAGGCGCCTGGAGTGGGCAGCAGGGAAAAGAACTCAGGAGATGCCTGCAAAGTACCTGGTACAGCCCCAAACCCTGAGCCAAACCCCAGTGCCAGCAAGGTGCCTGCTGCAGGAGGGAAGGCAGAGTGAGAGAGGAGACTCTTACAGCTCAGCTGTGGACTGTGGGATGCGATCTGGGATCTTGGTGAGTTTCAGGTTGGAGCACTCGACCACACCAGATTCACAGCGGCATTTTGGGGGGCAGATCACATCACTGTTGCATTCACTGTTCAGCTGGTAATCCTCTGTCCCTGTGTGATGGTGAAGGCATTGTGGGTTCCCACAGGCAGAGGCACCTCCCCCCTCTCCCTCTGATCCTCCCACATTCCCACCTAGTCTCATTTTCTTCCCCAGCTCCCCTCATTCCAGCCTTTGTGCACATGTAAAGCAGCTTATCTACAGAGATATTTTTCCTGGGTACACAGGGCAGCGCCCTGCCCACCACCCTCCTGCAAACAAAACTGGACCCTGGGGACGCCTCTATGCCCATCCAGGTGATGCCACTACACATCCTGGTACCCAGCATGTGGGAAATGAAGCATGGTTCTGCTGGGCCAGACCACGGGGCTCCAGCACAACCATCCCTGCAGGCAGCCTGGCCAGAAGGGCATCATGCACACCCCCACATACACGTGTGTGGCTCCTCTGCTCACCTGGGATGAAATACTGCTCTTTGGCTGCGGAAAAAAAAAAAGCACATCAGCCCTCTGAGCACACAGACACCAGGCTGGGACAGGGCCAAGGACAGCGGTGCCACAGGACGCCTGTGACAGGGCTGGGGACAGCTCTCACCCGAGCAGCGGAACTTCTTGCTCTTGATCTGGCCGATGCGCTTGTTGGCCAAGCGCCGGGGGCTGGCACAGCGGGCTCCACTGGTCTCCACGGGGTTGGCACGCAGGAAATCTGCCAGCCACTTCAGGTTGCAATCACAGATGAAAGGATTCTGGGCCAGGTGCCTGTGCCAGGGACAGTGAGTGACACACGGCCAGGAGCAGGGGGTGATCAGCAGCTCCAGCCCTGGAGATGCTTTTCCCCCAGAGCCTCTCCTGCCCAGCCATGGGAGCTGGAGTGGACACTCACAGAGTCTGGATGGCCCGCAGGGAGGTGAATGTGCCTTTGGCCAGGCTCTGGATCTTGTTGTCATAGAGTGAGAGCAGTGAGAGGTTCTGCAGATCCTGGAAGGCATCTGCCCGTACACAGTTGATCTTGTTGGCATTGAGAAGCCTGGCAGGGAGGGAGGGATGTGAGTCTGGGGACAGTCCTTCACTGCACCATAGGTGGCAGGGACCTCAGTCCTGCTTCCCTATGTCCCTGAAAAGCATCCCACACAGCCACTTGTGCCTTACAGCAGCTGCAGGGAAAAAAGTCCTCCGAAGACACCCTTAGGGAGGTCCGTGATCTTGTTGCCATACAGCACCCTGGGAAAGAAAGGCTGGTGTGAGAGAGGTGGGGGGAGTGGTGTGGGCCACGGTTAAGGGGTACAGCATCCACCCCATCCCACCCACACCAGTGCAGGCACTTACAGGGAGTTCAGTGAGCGCAGCCCCTGGAAGGCATCAGGGGCAATCTCCGAGATCTGGTTGTTGCTCAGGTCTCTGAAACCCAAAGGAAGAAGGTGGCCTGGTCCCCTCTTCTCTTGTCCTATGTCCTCATCCTTCTGCTAGTTCCAGGGGACCACCCCCAAGACCCAATATACAGAGCTGGAGTTATCCAAGACTCCCTCCCAGTGCTGCCATATGGGGCACCCGTGTCATAGCAGGTGCCCCACGTCTCTTAGCAGTGGCCAGCAGCATGAAGGGTGTTGGGGTTCAGGGTGAGCTGGTACAGGCTGCACACTTACATTCTCCGCAGCTTCTTGTAGGGTGAGAAGGCTCCTGGGGGGATGGACTTGATGCCGTTGAGTTCCAGGCGTCTGCAAAGAGGATAGGGGGAGATGAGGGCTCTAGGGCTTGCCAAACCCCAGAACCCCACTGACAGAGCTGGGCCTGCAGGACCCCTAAGGTTGCAGTAAGTTACCCCATGGGAGTGGAAATATTCTGCTCAGAGACAATTTGCATCCTGGGGCTGGGCTGTCTCCATCAGGGAGAGGTGCCATGGGTGGGGGAACCATGGTGGCTGGGGTGGAGGAAGCACCTCTCCTCCCCAGCACCTTGGGTTTGGGGGTGCTTGCTGCCTCCCACGTGCTTTGTGCACTGTCCCAGCAGGGGCTCTGCACCATAACTGGATTCCTCTAAGGAGATTATTTCTCTATTTACATTTTTAAAGCAGCTAAATCCAGGGCTAAATCTGGGCAGAGTGAGAGAAGGGCAAGGAAGGCCTGCTGCCCTGTGGAGTGGCTGAGCTGCAGGGCTTGCTCCTGCGTTCCCGGTGCCTTGAGCCACCCAGAGCCCAGTGGTGACAGTGTGGGGCCATACTCACATCTCTGTCATGGTCTCGGGCAGGTTGGCGGGGATGGCCGTCAGCCCCTTGCCCCGACAATCCACAATGCCATTGCTGCAGGTGCACATGGCCGGGCAGGAGCCGGAGGACAAGCTGCAGAGCTGGGCATGTGCTGAGTCCGTTTGTCCTGCCAGGGAAGCAGCCAGCATTGGAATTGCAAAGAGCTGAACCAGGCCAGTATGTGGCAGCAGCCCAAAGAAGGGACTCTGGTGACAGCTCAGCATGCAGGGACAGTTCATGGCACCCTTGAGTGGGTGTATAAGATCTTGACACACCCCAACTCCCTGCAAAAGCTCCAAAGGCACAGACTGATGTACTGTCACACTGATAGGGTGGCACTGTCCCCATATTGTCCCAAGGACTGTGCTGACCTGAGATGAACCCACAGCATGGGTTTTGAGGCTCTGAGCTGGGGCACATGGCAGGGAGTGGAGACGGGCTGCATTGGTGGCACAAGCCTTGTTTCCCTGGCCCATGTCCCTGCCCTGGCACCCACCACCTCCTCTGTCTCCTCACCAGAGCAGCTGAACTCGTTCTTTTGGATCTCAGCCACGTTGAGGCCGCGAAGCTGGGCGGGAGCGGCACACTGGGTGAAGAGCCCGATGGTGGGACGCTGGCGCAGCCACTGAGAGAGCCAGGCCAGGTGGCAGTCACAGAAGAGATGGTTGGAATGCAGGCGGCTGCAGGATGGATGGAGCAGTCAGCAGCCACAGCACAGCTCCTGCCCGCTCCAGCCTGAATGCCCCAGCCTGGCTCATCCCAAAGGCTGGGGGGATTCAAAGGGAGATACAGAGGGGCCGAAGAGCATCTGTGACAGTTGCCAAGGCCACCTTGCTTGGCAGTACTTGGGGATGCTCTGCAGGGCTGTCCCCTCCATTCCCTTGCCGTGGTGCTGTCCCAGCACTATTGAGCCACCAGCACCAGCAGCAGAGCCGGGGACATCCCACTGTAGCCTAGGAGGCCACCCCTACCACCACCACCACCACAGCCCTGGCACTCACAACGTCCGCAACTTGGGCATGTGGTTGAAGCTGGACACAGGAATTGTAGTGATATTATTGTTGTTCAGGGTCCTGCAGGAAGACAAAGAAGGGCAAACAGGCAAAGAAGGTCAGGGCAGACAGGCTATAAACAGGAACATGAGATGGTCTAGGTGGCACTAACCCCTGGGAGCAACCTAGCACAAGGTGAATGGATGGAGAACTACAGGCTGAACCCCCAGGAGGACTTGCTGTCCTTTCCAGGCTTCTCCTCTCCACAGCCAGCAGCACCCAGGTGGCCCTCAGGGACAGGATCAAGCCCTGGAGCACAGCTCTGCAGCAGTTGTACCAGAACCCTGGTCAGCCCCTGCTCATGCCCAGGGAGAAATGGCATGCTGGGGATGTCCCTGCAGTACTTCAGTGATGGGGGACACTCAAGGACACCCTCATCCTGCATGGGGTCGTAGACTGGAGGCTCCAGCCTTTTCCCCAGTCACTTACAGGACCTCCAGCCCCCGCAAGGCACGGAAAGCCCCATCCTCGATGCAGCTGATCTGGTTCTTGTCCAGTTGTCTGCAGGAGAAAGAGAAAAAAAGGGAAAATTGTTGGGACAGCCCAGGCAGAGAGCAATCAGTGCTCCTGATCACTTCCACTGCCTGCTGCCACTGGACCTGACCCCAAACCCCCTCATGCCCAACACTGCCAGGACTCACAGGTTCTTGAGGTCGGTGGCCCCACGGAACGCTTTCCTGGGGATGGCCTGGATGAAGTTCTCACTCAGGTCCCTGCAGAAGAAAGAGGAAGGAAGGCAAATGGGCAGTGCCTGCAAAGCGTGATGTCCCATGGGAGCAGGGCATCCACAGGCAGGGGCACGCCTCGGCACTCAGTGATCCCTCAGAGACTCTTGACAAACTAATTTGGTTTCAGGTCCTTGGCTGACCACTGTTCTGCTGGCTGTCCTGAGGCAAGTCTGGCTCCATCTATGGTGGCTCAAAGTGACTGGGGCTCCCTGGGCACTGCAGTCCCTGGCTCTGACAAGCAGAGCTGACTGGCACAACTCTGGGAAAACCCTCCATACTTAAATACTCTCTGACTGCTATAATTACAGGTCCCTGCTGATTAACTGGTAATTACACTTAGTGGCTCCAGGAGGCATGCCCATGGAGCCTGACTTGCACTTCACAGGGCACAAATAATCGGGTCATTATTTACATCATCACTGCAGGGTACTGTCTGTGTAATCACCCGCTCTGTAATGCCAGGGCATGCCAAGCCAGCAAGGGCTCTGGGTTGCAGGGCTGGCAGCAGGTCAGATCCCCCATCATGCCCGGGCTGGCTTTTAAAGACCATGAAGACCACAAATCTCACTGCAAATAGGGTCGGGGTAGACTGGCTCAGCTGTGCAGAAGGACCAGCCCAGCTCCCCTGCGAGCAGCAGCCGCAGTTTTGCAGGAACCCACGTGGCGGCACTGCCAGGCTGCCCTGCTGCTTGTGCTGCCTGCACTGCCTGCCCTGACCGTGCCGACTGTTCCCACAACTCCGGCCCGACCTGCCCACGAGGGATCAGGGTCCCTCACCCTCTCCAAAGGCAAAAGACCAGATACCTGCAGCAGCCTCCAATTGCCCAGCACTCCTTCAAATAAAAACATTTTCTCTTCATACTATGTTGGGGATGCGATGAGCCTAGGGACCCCCAGGAATTGCACTGACCTTTCAGAAAATGACAGCATTGTACCAATTCCTCTTTTCTCTTTTAGCTCGCATCAGGAATCCCTTAGAAAACTCTTAGGAAAAGATAGCAACTTTTTTACATGGGCAGACAGTGATGGGGTGAACAGTTTTAAACTAAAAGTGCAGAGTTTTAAATTAAATGTAAGGAGGGAATTCTTCACAGTGAGGATAGCGAGCCACTGGAACAGGCTGTCCAAAGACCTTGTGGATACCTCATCCCTGGAAGTGTTCAAGGCTAGGCTGGATGGGGCACATATTATGCAGAGGGTGCCATCCCTGCCCATGGCTAAGGGTTTGAACTAGATGATCTTCAAGTTCTCCTCCAACCCAAACCACACTATGATTCTATGAACCCTCCAGGTGCAGTTCATCATTCTTTCTAGCAAAGCACTCAATGCACCGCATTCCTTCTTGGCAGCTGCCTGTCCTCCAGCATTAAACCCATCACAGAGGTCAGCACCACACTTCAGTGCTCTGCACCCCTCTCCCAGCTCTGGCACTGCCTGCCCAGGCAGGTCCTGTCTGCAATTTGCTTGGTTCCCCCATGGAAAGCTTGCTTCCATTTCTCTGCTTGGAGCACATGGGAGTCCCAGTGCGCCCAGAGAGTAAACCCAAGCGTCTGTCTCCAAGCTGCTCATTTACAGCTTGCGAGGGAAATGCCGCTAGAAGGTTGCAACTGACTTTGCGAGGCTTCTCCCCTTCACAGCTTTTTGTGACAGTCACCGATGAAGTGCTGCCGTTGGGGGTACCGAAGCCAAGAGGGACAGACGCTGGATGCGAGGCTTTCAGCAAGGCCCCGGCACCGGGCTGAGATTACATTGCACGGTTACACAGCTGACGACACCGGGACAAACACATGCTTTGCCTGTGGAATCCTCGGCCCGGCGTTGGAACAAGGCACGGCCCCTTCCCTCCTGGTGTTTCGTAGCTCCCAGCTATGTTTGCTTTACACTTTGGCGCAGAAGAAACAGCAGATGGCACGGCTTCTCCTTGCTCCGCCATGCCGCTCGCAGCACCACAGCGGCTGCATCGGTGCCACCTCACGCCCCGCCGAATACAAGAGTGTCACTGCCATCGCATGTGGAGTGCCAGCTGACAGCAGTGACCACGGGCACTGGCAGGTCTGATAGCCCCGCTGGGGACCAGCTGACGGACACAGGCAGAGGAGGGGGAGTTGTCACAGTCACCCTCACTGCCTCTTCTGGTTTCACTTCCAGGTATTGTCCTAAAGCTCCAAGTTTAAGAGTTCCTGGCTGTTGAATCCAGGCGTTCACCAAACAGCCAGCCCAGTCACAGTGCCACCGTCCTCCCATCCCTGTGCCATGGTCTCAGAGAACCATGCAGCTGGAGTTTGTCCTTGCATGCCACAAGGTACAGAGGGCTCTGGTAGTCCCAGAGGTGCAAAAGGGGAAGTATAACAGGGGGTGAGGAGGTGATGCAGGACACCTCTGTCACCACGCTCACCTCCCACGTGGATTTCTGACCCAGCAGATGCCTGTAAAACAGCAGCAGCAGCAGCCAGCTCCAACCCACAGCTGTGTGATGGCAAGAAGGCAGGCACACGCTTTTCTTCCAAGTCCCCCAAAAGCCTCATGGCCAAACTATATCCACACGAGTCCTCCCCGGCCGGGCAGTGAGAGGGATGGCAGTGTCCAGGGATCGCGATTTCAGGAGCTTCCCAGCTCGCATCTGACACCCGGCCGCTCTGCCCCGTTGTGCGTGTGACGGCTGTCGGCGCGGTACCGCGGCGAGTCGGGAGGTGCCGCGGCGCTGCCTCTCCTGGCAGCCGCAGCCCCATCCGCTGCCGCCGCTCCCGGGGAGCCTGGGCGAGGAGCCAGGCGCGGGACGCGGCTCCCGGGGCTGGCAGGGCCCGGCGGCGGGAGCCAACCCCCCAGCGCGGCGCCCGGCCCGGCGCTTAGCGGGGCGCCCGAGCAAAGCTGTTCGACACGGCTTCCCAGTGGGGAGCCCACTCAGGCAAACAAACCCGCAGCCTTAATCCCCCCGGCGAGAGCCCGCGGGGCCGGAGGGCGGGCGAGCGGGAGGGGCTCAGCGGGGCTGCGGCGGCCGGGCAAGGAGGCCGGAGCTATTACCACGCTCTCATTCTTTTGGCTAATCCTGACTTCACACTTTAACCTGATTGAGCCTTGTTTGGCGAGCCGGCTCCTTGCTCGCCGTGTGAGGGGATTAGGGCCGGACGCAGCGGGGAGGTAATTGCTTCCCGGCGGCGCTGGCCCCGCGTCCCCGAGCCCCCGCTGCCAAGAGCGCTGGGCGGCCTGGCAGCCCCCGGCGGGCGCTGCCCTCGCCGGGAGCCCGGCTTGGCAGCGGCCGCTGGGCTGGCTCCGGCTCCGTGCCGGGGTCCAGCTCGCCCGGTGGCAGCAGCCGCGCGGGCACCCCGTGCAGGGCACAGCTGCAGCCCGGGTCGCGTCCCGGGCGCGCCGGGCAGGGCTGCGGGACCACACTGTGCCAGGTGAGTGCCGTGCCACCCTGGCAGCGCCCGCATGCCCGGGACCAGTGCCGAGTGCCCGGGGCTGCTCCTCTCTTTACCTTGTTTCCTCCCCAGCATCCATGCTGGAAGCTCATTATGAGGGCTTCAGCCTCTGCCAGCCCACAGCTCCCCCAGTGAAAATGCATGACGCTGCCTGCCCCTGGCTCACACACCAGTGCTGACACCAGTCACTGCAGGAACCAGCTCAGCCGCAGCAACCATCCACCAGGCCTTGAGCAGACAAGGCACCCAAAGCCACCAGCCCTGCAGAGAATCAGTTTCATGCTGGCACAAGAGCTCCCCAGATCCCAGCCTCACCTCAGTGGTGCCGTGCCAGAGGCAGCTATGCTAGAGCAGAAACGGCGTTTCCCCAGCAAGGACTGTGGCACCAGCAGCTATTAAACAACCCGGTGTCTCAGACCACCCTGCACATGCTGTCTGTCCCAGCACAGCCTGTCCAGGGCAGACGGATGAGCAGAGACAGGGCTGACAGCTGTTCACACCGCCACCTTCACTGCCTGACAGGTGACAAGGGGTGAGCTGAAGGCACGGTAAGACTCCTGCATTACAAAAAATCAATAGACTTATAAAAATCAATCAGCACTTGCATTAGTAGCAACAGCCCAGAGTCTCCCAGGGGTTCTGCACTCTCCACTCCAGGGCAGGAGCTGCTGCATCCACACTGCTTGTGCCAGCATCAGCATCTGCAGCCCTGAGCTGGGAGAAGTGTCACCCACATGTCCACAATCCCACATGTGGCTACACAGTCCTCTCAAGGTGATGCACACAAGTCCCCAGTGCTCCAAAGACCCAGTGCCCACAAGGGGTGTCCCTAAGGGAGCTGCTTGATGGAGGTGGGGAGCAGCCACCCCTCTGCTGCATGACAGGATGCCAGGGCAACAAGGCAGAATTTTGTCCACTGTGTCACCTGCCCCAGTCCCCAGTTTGAGCAGGACCCCACAGGTCTCAGGTTCAGGCTCCTGTGGCGTGCCCCCAGCATTATGTCACACTGTTTGATTTTTAATGTGTTCCACTGGCCCAGCTGCTGGCACCACTCCATCCTGGCCAAGGGAGATGAGACCTCCCACTGCTCCCAGCCCATCCCACTCCACTGTCCCCAAGGTCACAGCCTGTGTGCTACCTGCTACTGCCTGTTGCTGCCTGCCACCCACTGCAGCCCCAGCCCTGGGGCTGAGGGCATTTGCACTGGACAAGAGGGGATGGCAGATGCTGATGCATGGTTACAAACAAGCTGAAGTATAGCATGGTGAGCTCAGTGTGAGCCCCTGCCACTCAGGAGAAACATGGTGGGGTTTCTGGAAAAGGTACTTTGGCAGCAGCCAGAAGGGGAAATGGGAGGGAATGGGACAGGGTACAAAGCAGCATGGTGTGGGGAAAAGGAACATTATTTACTCTTTTTACAATGCTAGAACAAGTGATGACTGACACAATCATGAAGGCAAGCTTAAAATCACAGCTAAGAGTGAATCCTCCAAATTAGAAGTCCATGCATCTCTCAGCCACAGCCAGCTCAAAAGGAAAATTAATAGAAGCAAAGTGCAGAAATGC